AAAAAAAAAAAAGGTTTTATGTTATTTTTGTTGGTGTGTTCTTCTTCAAAAATCGATTTATTCGTTTTCTAGTCATGATATTTGAGAAGTAAAAAAAGCTCTTTTATGCCATGAAGAAATATAAAAGTTAAAATAATCGGAAATTTTCTTTCGGTAATTAGTTATTCTTTGATCTGTTTGTTTTTAACACTTGACTGGAGGAGCAGCTTTATTCAACGGAATAGGACAATATGTTACATTTATTTTTTTTTTCTTGCTTTCAGGATAAAGAGTTTCCCCCCCTAAAAAAGAAAAGGGTAAGTTGACGTTATTATTTTATTTATTATGTTATCCTGACTGATTTGCCTCTTATAAAGATAGGTAAAGAATCTGTTGAAGCGTGTCTCTATGAGGCCCTCTTTGTATGGAGTGTATGTAATATACTCATCTAAAAAAGCAATTTTTCCCAAATGCAATTCAGCATCATGACATGATTTTGAAAGAAAGTAAATAAAAGTAATTTTTTGACAGAAAGGTCATATAGGAAAAATACTGCAGTGAGCAAAATAGAGAGCCAGGAGATGCCGATGGTGACAATTTTTTTTATTTTTGAAGAGCAACAAATTATGTCTTCTCTTATTGTCTTATTAAAAGATCAAAACATCAGGATTCCTTTCTTTGGCCTTCCAATTTGTGATTTTAACAGTACAATATTTAAGTCTTGATTTTCAGTTACCTGGGTGGTAACAATTGCAACAAATTAATACAACAAAAGAATTTGATTTATTCCAGCTTTCCATAGCAACACCAGCAGGATGACTGATATATCATTCCAAATTTCCAGTCAGTATCATCGCACTGGGGACTTTGAATAATTTTATTTAATTTTTATTTTTACAACTCACACTTATGGCACAGAGTTGGGCAGTGGGAACTGAAACAATGTCATTCTTAGTCTCCTGGGTGGTAACAAAAAGCCAACAGCAGATCTCTCCTTTCTATAAGGTCAACGTCTGTTTTACAAGTTCATCATTGGAGGGGACACAATTGCAAGTAAGAACAAGTGATGTAAAGATAACAGGCTTTGCATCACCCTTATCATAAATGGAGTGGATTTAAGGCTTGGAATGATGATAATGCTGTAAATAATTTCCTTTTTTGCAGCTTCATTCGGTGATTTACTTATTGATCATTCTTTTTTCCCGCTTCCCTGACTGGTTGTTTGGTCGTTTGATTCAACTTTTTTTCATTAGATTCCTCTAACATTTTGATTTTTTCTCCCGGCCCTGGAGTTCCACCGTGTCGCAGTGTTTATACCAGGGTGGCTTCCTTCATATCTTACATTTTATGGATTTCCAACCGTAGTGAGCTGTATAATATAACAGTGGCTTCTTCGCTACCTAACAGTTATTACATTGCCTGCGTTTTCTTCCTCATTAACACTTTTTCTTGAGGATTTTCTTCCTTTGCACGCTTCAAAAGTTGTTGTTCTGGTGGCCTTATTTAATTCTTTTTTTTTTTTTTTTATTTTTTTCTTTTGTCGTGTGATATTTTTCTAATTATGTATATTTTTGGGAATCTGCTTTCTCCTACTTCCCATACTATGTCTTTTTCATATGAGTTGTGGAGTCATTTAATAGGGATGCACAGGCAATTTATGTGCATGTGTATAAAAAAAAGGTGTCCCTTCTGAAGTAAAGAAAACATAGCTACTTAGTTTTTAAAATTTTACATAGTGTAGTGAGACGCAACATTGTAAGATTCTACATAGTGAGATGCAACATTGATGAACAGTTGGTCTACATTGTGAACAGGTCATGAAATGGATAGCATAGATGTGGATATCTGTTCACTTCTCTAGATTATTGTTGAGTTTCTCTCAGTGAAATCTCTTGATTACTTACTCAAATTGCACAGCAAAATCGTGACTGGATAGATGATGAATATTCAGTTACCATTGCATTAAAATTGGTTTGAAAATTTACATATTCTCATTTATATACTCATTATGTAACAAATATTTTATCTAAAAATTAATTTTCCTCATTGCTTGATCCTTTGTTTCAGGGCGGCCGCCGACGCTGAGCAACCCAGGACGTCTGGCATTAGAGACTTCTAATGACTAAAAATGACTATTTTTTAATTTTTTCATAATATGTAAATAAATTAATATCAAATTATATATTCTTTCTTCCTCTTCTTTCATCATTATCTCACGTAGGATGTCATATCATCTCTTAAACATTTTTCATTTTTTTATACAAGCAATAAGAAAAGGATTTGGTTCAACAAGTTTAAGACTTTGGGCGGACTCTTTACTCCTTTAAATCTGAAAGTTTTCTGGGGGATTTTGTAGTTTCATTACATTATCTCACGTAATATTTCTTATGATCTCTTTTAAAGAGGATTTTGTACATGGATGGGTAGAGTTGAATAATGTGTATTTCAGTTTGCAACGTAAAAAAATCTTTGACCTTTTTTTACTTAGTAATTTTATTTATTTTTTTAAATTAAATTAAATCAACAGTTCCTCTTGAATTAGTGGATGGCTTTAATTGGAAGACTATGATTTGCTTATTTTAAAGTTTCAATAGAGATAGGCGTTTTTCAAAATTTAATTTTCCATATTTATTCGCTCGAAACATCAGCTAGAAATTAGTGAAAGGCTTAATTTAGTCAGACCATATATTTAAGATGAAAGATTTAGAAAGCGTTAACTTTTATTTTTATTTATAATTTTACCTTGAAGAAGGGAAAAAGAAACATTCTCTCAAATCCAGGAGCAATGAGAATTTGGAGAATTACAAGCCAATGCTCAGACGTTTGAGGGAGGTGCGGGAGTAAGGAGGCAAGCTAAGCCACCAACTCTCATCCCTGAGATCGCTTTCTGTACCTAAGTCTGATGATCCAAATGGTGGAACATGTTCTTTCTGCTATACGTCTGCAAAGGTGTTTTCAGAGAAAGGCAATTTTCAGATGGCAAGATTATGTTTCGTTCAGGTACCTCAACGTTTTACTCAATAAGGAAGTAAGTATTTCATGTGAATTAAAAAATGGTTAGACCTCTGAGGTTTCTTGCAGAATAAGCGTAGTTGCGGATTTTTACTATAGGAACCTAGAGATTGGCAATAGTTGTTACCAGAGTTCATACTATTTGTCTAATGTATTCGATGTTACCTTCTGTTTCAGTGGCATGATTATTAATGTTATTATTTCCCTTAGTTCAACACAATGCAACAGCTTGAACTAGAAAAATTTATATGCCCTGTTACAGGGGCGAACATTGCTCCTAAGTATTAGGACCTTTATTTCTTTAGAAAATTTGCATCGCTGTCAAGTAGGTGTCTAAATGGGGTAAACTAATTGAGAATGAAGTTCAGTTACTTTGTTCCCTTTTAATGCAAAGGAGAATGCAGCATTCTTTTGTAAGTTGGTTTTTAAGTTGATTTCTCGTGCAGCCCCAAGTTCATTAATTTTCTCATCGACTACTAGTTAGTGTGCTCTTCAATTCCTGCTGTCCCAGACAATTTCTCACACTGTAAATTGAATCATGGATGGCTCCAAATTAGACCTCTCAGTAGTTGATAACAGGATCGGAGGACAGAGCGATCACCTTATTCAGCCAGCGTATGAACCAGGCGTAACTCAGACATGAGGCGAAAAGATGATTTGGATCATTAAGTGAGGTGGAGTAAGCTAGGGAAATATGTATTAGGTGTTTTTGTTGAAACCGACTCGAATTTTCATACCCGGCAACGTGTGAAAGTCTCTGCTTGGCTGTGACTATCTTTCAAGCCGCTCTATTGTTACGTGAGTTAATTTTATTTAGAGGTGACTGCTATCACCCATAATTACTTATATCTTCAAGGTAAGAAAATAGAACGTGTACGTACCTTTCACAAAATTGGATCCTAAATAATGTCAGGAGCAATGAACGATGCTTGTAGCAACTGTAGACGCAAAATCAGAGTCTCTGAAAGAGTTAAATGGGAGCTTAAACCCACAGTCAAAGATCTCTGATTTTGTGACAATAAGTTGATTAAATGACTGCACTAAACAGAGAGGTGGTAGGTAGAATTGAACGTTACTTCTCCAGATAAACAACAGCTGCCGATGTCCAAGTAATTGAGGTTCCCAACACGGTCAGGGGAGGGATTTCCCAAGAATAATCATGCAAAGAACATAGCCTTCATGCCAATAACATGCACTTAAGGAAAACGCAATCACTTCAGAAGGCATGGGCTGATAGAAAAGTTTAAACCGAATGAACTTTGGTCAAAGCACACTGGACAGTCCCATATCGTAGGATTGGCAGAGGCTGATGTCCAGTAACTTTTGGATAGTAGAACTTAACTTATGACTGTTCATCTGAGAACAACTTTCCTCTTCAAGATCTGAGGACTAGGATTCGTGCCATGAGGAAAATAACACTGTAAATGAACAAAATGTAAGCTATGACCACATAGCACTTTCTTTCGTAGATTCCACCGATGCACTTGGCGCTTGTCTCTACTTGAACGGTATTGAAGTTTGTAGGAGCTGTTTGTTGTGAGAATGCAATCTGTGGTGGAAATGCTGCTTCCTTGTGAGATTCTTCAGCAAAATTTCGTAATTTCTATGACATCGTAAATTGTACATTTATCGCTTACGCCAGTTCCAGGACAGTCAGCTGGACATAACCTCACTTACAGTTGCGTTCGTCAGTAAATCACTTGCAAATTTTTAAGAAACCAATGAAGTAGTTTATCGGGATGAAAGTGGACGTAATAACATAATTGTGTAATATTAGTTAGGGTCTATCTAAAATGAATCGAACTTTTAAATTAAATCTGTACATTATTCACAAATAAATACATGAGGTGGAGGTTGGTATAATCGACGACGGGAACTCCGAATTTCGTTCCCGAAACTCGATCGGACCTGAACAGAATGAACCAATGGCATTGAACCACCACTGGTTTTTCTAAATTCAAATATTATAGCTAAAATTTTGAAGGATGTAAGCGGATGCTGGATTATCCGTGAGATAAAGCGCTTTTTTATGTGGCAAAATGAAATCCTCACATCTTCACGGAGTGCCCTTTACATAGGCTCCATTACAATCTGCGGCCGGGTAAGCGAGAAATCTGTTGTTAAAGATGGTCATGACGGGCAGTTTAGTCGTATTTTCCGTAATTTCTCTTTTAGTTCACTAGGAATGTTAGAAAACTGTAAAAACCCATGGACACGGTAACATGACGATTCTTTAGGTACCCACTTTTATGGGTCTAAGGTTTACCGTTATCGCGGAGTTTGAGTGACTTTCTCAGGACCCTGGATTCTTGAAATTCAAATTTCCCGGCAAACTAAAAAGTAAAATTTTCCTTGTTTTGGGTCATTAAGTGCTTATAACTTTTTGAAAACTCGATGGATCTTAATGAAACCCTTAAACGCCATCCGGCTAACTTAGCTGCGTCCATAGACACCAAGATCGTTGGAATCCGTGCCGCCGTTTGCTCTGAATTCCATTCTAAATCGAATCAATTTTCAGATTAAGGGAGTTGCCTGTGACTAAGAGTGTCGGCCACCCGTTTGTTATCGGGACTTTAGTAGGACGTCATTTTCCTCGACCGGGGGTGGCTACCGCCACTCTTGATATTATTATTATATTAATATGCATTTCAATAAGATTTTGAAAAAAGAGCTTCAGTTCTGACTCTGCCTGGTCTATTGTGTGATGGACTGGAATACGGATTACATTCAAACTCCACCACGGGGGCTTTTTACTTTTAACAAATCGTTTGCAGTTTATATTGATTTGATTTTGTATCATGATAATTTTATCCTCTTTATTTTTTATGTTATCAATATATACATGTCTCGTCCCATTACAATACGAGTTCTGCGGCACTTTAAAAAGGAAGAGAAAGGGTGTATGGTTTTCAAGACAAAAAAGGGAGGAGGAAACAAACGAATCGAGTTATAAGATTTTGAACGCCATCATGAAATATTCATCCCTGACTTCCTGTTATTCAGCAGGTGGACGCGTCGTAAAAAATGAGGAAAAAAATCTAAACCATCAAAATGATGAATGATTTCAGAGAAATGAATTTCTGAAAGTTATCAATAAGTGAAAATAAATAAGTAAAGTTTTGACGACGTTGAAGGAAGGCCAGCACCACTAGAGACGGAAAATTTAATTAAATAAACTCACGTGAAATTTCGATAAATAATTGAAACACTTGAAGATGCATTCAGAGGGTCAAGAAACGCCTAGAAACAGCGATTCTCGATTCTGATATTTTTCTCTCCAAGACTGAAAAATTCACGCGTTTCCAAAATTTTCGCTTGTTTTAAATGTAATTTTTAGGTTGAATTTCTCTATAAACTCCCATCTGTGGCCCCTTTAGTATAAAGCACCTCAGTATAGGGTACCATAATACAGCCGGATGAACAAGAAGACCATCTGAAACGCTTCCGAATTTCCGAATGTTTAATTAATAATTCCGACAAAATTAATACATTTCAAATTTTGTGAAATTTATCGGAGCCTCTTGAAATTTCACTGCTTTCCATCTCTGAGCAACGGCTTTGCGGGGATAAACTCCTCGGTTTTCATAAATTTGACACAAGATCAATTTTCCTCACCTAGATATTGCCTGAATAACCCCTCAGTGGGAAACCCGATTTGGCAATGAAAGAGACGCCAACCCCGATACTAATTTGGCACAAAAATAGTCATAGTCAAGGCTTTGCTGATTTTGTCACGTGAGGCAAGTTCCGCTAGGCCTCGAACGAGTGATTTAACAAGGTCCTTTTTTGGGCAGAAGCTTCACCTGCTTTTCATCAGCTCCGGCTTTTACCGCACCGGAGTCTCCCTCACACCATGTTGCTAAGTTAGAGACACTCAATAGAGAACGACAAAACCGTGCTGCCGTGTTAAGGAAAAACGCCGTATGAGCCTTCAGAAGTTGCCGAAATTCCTTTGAAAAACCACGAATTTTCGGAATTTGTAAATATTTTTCTTCCGGTTTTTCAGATAATTTTATCCGCAATTTGATCTAAAATTTGTGAACATTTTAAGGAGAAATATTTACAACGTTCTTCAAAAATAGATATTTTTTGAGCAGAAATTTGGCAACGCCTAAAGGCTCATACGACGTTCTTCCTTAGTACGGCAGCGTGCGCCTCAATTGGATAATT